CTATTATTAAGAACTATATACCAACAAATTAGAAAACGTAAAAGAAATGGATAAATTTGTGTACATATACAATCTGCTAAAATTGAATCATGAAAAAATAGAAAGCCTAAACCAACCAACAGTAAGTAATGACAGTAAGTAATGAGATTGAATTGGTAGTAAAGTCTTCCATTGAAGAAAATCTCCAGACCTGATAGATTCACTGCTCAATTCTACCAAGCATTTAAAGAAGAACAATACCAATTCTTCTCAACTACTCTAAAAAATTGAAGTGGAGAGAATTCTTCCAGACTCATTCTACAAGGCCAGCATTACCTTGATACCAAAACCAGACAAGGGCACAACAACAAAAAAGAAAACTATAGGCCAATATCTCTGATGAACATTGATGCAAAATCCCTTAACAAAATATTTGCAAACCAAATCCAACAACACATCAAAAAGATCATTTACCATAATAAAGAAGGATTTGTCCCAGGGATGCAGGATGGTTCAACATATGCAAACTGATAAACATGACACATCACATTAACAGAATGAAGGACATAAACCATATGATCATCTCCATGGATGCAGAAAAAGCATTCAGTAAAACTCAATATCATTGTGTTGAGGTACACTCTTTCTGTCCCTATTTTGTTGAGAGTTTAAACTTAATATAATGTTTAAACTCAATATAATGTTGAGATTTTAAGCTCTCAACAAAATAGAGAGTGAAAGAGTGTACCTCAACACAATGAAGACCATATATGATAAACCCACAGCTAACTCATATTGAATAAGGAAAAGTTGAAAGCTTTTCCTCTAAAATCTGGAACAAGTCCAGGTGCAATAGCTCATGCCTGTAATCCCAGCACTTTGAGAGGCTGAGGCAAGAGAATCACTTGAGGTCAGGAGTTCAAGACTAGCCTGGACAACATAGTAAGACCCTTCCACTACAAAAAAAAATACTTCTTAGAAAAACTAGCTGAGAGTAGTGGTGTATGCCTGTAGTTCCAACTACCTAGAAGGCTAAGGCAAGAGGATTCCTTGAGCCCTGAGCCCAGGAGTTCAAGACTGCAGTGAGCTATGATCATACCACTGTATTCCAGCCTGAGCGACAGAGTGAGACCCTGACTCTTAAAATTAGAGATACAATCTCACGCCAGTTAGAATGGTGATCATTAAAAATTCTGGAGCCAACAGATTCAGGAGAGGATGTGGAGAAATAAGAACACTTTTACACTGCTGGTGGGAGTGTAAATTAGTTCAGCCATTGTGAAAGACAGTGCAGCTATTCCTCAAAGATATAGAAATAGAAATTCCATTTGACCCAGCAATCCCATTACTGGGTATATACCCAAAGGATTATAAATTGTTCTATTATAAAGACACACACACATGTATGTTCATTGTGGCACTGTTTACAATAGCAAAGACCTGGAACCAACCCAAATGCCCATCGATGATAGACTGGACAAGGAAAATGTGGTACATATATGCTATGGAATACTATGCAGCCATATAAAAGATGAGTTCATGTCCTTTGTAGGGACATGGATAAATCTGGAAACCATCATTCTCAGCAAACTGACACAAGAACAGAAAATCAAACATCACATGTTCTAACTTATAGGTGGGTATTGAACAATGAGAACACATGGACACAGGGAGGAGAGCATCACACAGTGGGATATTAGGGGAGGGACAGCAAGGGGTAGGGAGGTTGGGGAGAGATAACATAGGGAGAAATGCCAGATACAGGTGATGGGGGATGGAGGCAGCAAACCACCTTGCCATGTATGTACCTATGCAACAATCCTGCATGATCTGCACATGTACCCCAGAACCTAAAGTACAATAAAAATAAATAAATAAAATAAGAGAAATAATTCATGAGTTGGTCTGGGCAATAATTTTTTTATAAGATCTCAAAAGCACAGGCAACAACAGCAAAAATAGACAAGTGGAATTTCATCAAACCAAAAAGCGTTTGCACACCAAAGGAAACAATCAAAAGAATGAAGTGGACCAGGTGCAGTGGCTTACACCTGTAATTCCGGCATTTTGGAAGGCCAAGGCAGCAGGACCACTTGAGTCTAAGAGTTCCAGAACAGCCCAGTCAACATGTTGAGACCCCCATCTCTCCAAAAATAACAACACACACACACACACACACACACACACACAAATGAGCCAGGCACAGTAGCATGCATCTGTGGTCTCAGCTACTTGAGAGGCTGAGGCAGGAGGCTCACTTGAGCCTGGGAGGTCAAGACTCCCAGGAGGGAGTCAGTGACTCCTGGGAGGTCAATGGTTGCACCACTGTACTCCAACCTGGACAACAAAGTGAGACCCTGTCTCAAAAAAAAAATAGGTGAAGTAACAACCTACAGAATAAAAGGAAATATTTGTAAGCTATGCAACTGACAAGGGATTAATATTCAGAATATATAAGGAACTCAAACAACTCAGTAGGGAAAAAATAAATAATCTGAAAGAGCAGAATAAACATTTCTCAAAAGAAGACAAATGGCCACAGGTAGGTGAAAAAATGCTCAACATCACTAATCAGAGAAATGCAAATCAAACCCACAATAAAATATAACCTCACCCTCATTAGAATGGCTACTATGAAAAAGATAAAAAATAAATAATATTGGTGAAGAGGTGGAGAAGGGGGATCCTCCTTACATTTTTGGTAAGAATGCAAATTAGTACAGCCACTATGGAGAACAATATGAAGGTTTCTCAAAAAATTAAAAACAGAACTACCATATAATCCAACAATCCCCCTACTGAGTATATATCCAAAGGAAAGGAAATCAGTGTGTTGCAGAGATATCTGCACTCCCAGGTTTATTACAGCACTGTGTACAATAGCCAAGATATGAAATCAACCTGACTGTCTCTGTCAGCGGATAAATGGATTTTTGAAATATGGTATTTATACACAATGTAATACCATTCTTTTATAAAAAGGAATAAAAACCTGTTGTTTGTGACAACATGGATGAGTCTAGAGAATACTATATTAAGTAAAATAAGCCAGGCATAGAAGGACAAGTACCGCATGATCTCACTCACTTGTGAAATCCAAAAACGTTGATCTCATAGAAGTAGAGGGTTGAATAGTGGATCAGAGGCTGAGGAGAGTAGAGGGGAAGGGTGGATGAGGACAGGTTGGCCAATGATGCAAAGTTACACTTAGATAGGAGGAATAAGTTCTGGTTTTCTATTGCACAATAACATGACTATAGTTAACAATAATGTATATTTCAAAATAGAGGATTTTGAATGTTCTCATCACAAAGAAATGAGAAGTGTTTGAGGTGATAGATATGTGAATTATCCTGATTTGATCATTATACAATGTATACATGTGTCAAAACATCACATCACACCCAGAAATGTGTACAATTATGTGTCAATTAAAAACAAAATAAAACTTTAAAAAATGGGCCAAAGACCTTTTCAGACACCTTACCAAAGAATATATACAAATGGTAAACAAGCATGAAAAGATACTCCACATCATATGACATCAGGGAAATGCAAATTAAAACAATGAAATACCATCACAGATCTATTAAAATGGCTAAATTCCAGAATACTGACAACACCAAATGCTGGTGAGGATGTGGAGCAACAGAAACTCTCATTCATTGCTGATGGGAATGTAGAATGGCACAGCCACTTTGAAAGACAGTTTGATGGTTTCTTATAAAACTAAGCATATATTTACCATATAATCCAGAAATCATGCTTCTTGGTATTTACCCAAAGGAGTTAAAAACTCATCCACATAAAAACTCACACATGGGTATTTATGGCAGCTTTATTCATAATTGCCAAAACTTGGAAGCAACCAGGCTATTCCTCAGATGAATGGATAAATAAATTATGATTCATCCAGACAATGGAATATTATTCAGCACTAAAAAGAAATGGAGCTATCAAGCCACAAAAAGATATGGAGGGACCTTAAATGCATATTACCAAGTTAAAGAAGCCGCCTGAAGAGGCTACACATATATCCCGAACTATGACATTCCGGAAAAGGCAAAACTATGGAGACATATAAAGATTAATGGTTGCCAGGGGTTGAGGAGAAAGAGGAATTAATAGACACAGCAGGGAAGATTCTTAGGGTGGTGAAAAGGCTCAATATAATATTTATTATACTGATGGGTGCATGTCATTATGCATTTGTCTAGACTTATAGAATGTACTACACCAAGAGTCAATCCTAATGTAATCTGTGGACTTTGGGTGATTATGATGTGTCAGTATAGGTTCCTCAATTGCTTTGACTTTGGTGGAAGATACTGTTAATGAGAGAGGCCATGTACATAAGGGAGAAAATAATGGGCTATCTCTGTACCTTCCTTTCAGTTTTGCTGTGAACATAAAACTGCTCTAAACAAAAAAGTCTTTTAAAATAATAATAATAATAGTGAATAATAGTGCTTTCATCTACATCCCTCTTCATGGATCAAACATGTCTAAGTATAAATGAGAATTACATACATTTAATGATTACCTTCCAGAGTTTAAAAGTTCAAGAAGAAACTGCTGATAAAAACATATAGTGGCCAGGCACAGTGGCTCACACCTGTAATCCCAGCACTTTGGGAAGCTGAGGTGGGCAGATCATGAGGTCAGGCGTTCAAGACCAGCCTGATCAACATGGTGAAACCCCATCTCTACTAAAAGTGCAAAAAACAAGTAGCCAGCCATGATGGCACACGCCTGTAATCCCAGCTATTCAGATTGCTGAGGCAGGAGAATCATTTGAACCCAACAGGCAGAGGTTGCAGTGAGCTGAGATCAATCCACTGTACTCCAGCCTGAGTGACAGAGCAAGAATCCATCTAAAATAAATAAATACACACACACACACACACTCACACACACAGTGTTTTTTATATATATATATATAATGTTTATTCAGGCAGAATAAAACATGCAAATTATATACAGACTCCTGAATATCCCTTCAGGTGAGATACATTGGTCAAGGTAAGTACATTTTAAGTCAAAAGAACAAAAGGAATAGCTCTAGTGGATCCAGCAAGGAGATAAATCAGTCTGAAAATGTGATATGGAAGCATCACTGAGAGAAAGCAGCATATAGGCTCTCTAATATTTGGTATACATTTAGTGTGTAAAATTTAAGAATCTTATTTTCTTTGTTACCTTGTAAAATCTAAGTATTTTGAGCTATGAGATGCTGCCAGTGGCTCAAGCAGTCTTAAAAGACTAAAACACATGTATGGCTTCACCAGTCACTTTCTGGGGTCAGCTCAGCCAGATTGGAAAGGTCCTGTGATAACCTGGCTTCCAGAATCTGTCAAATAAAATTTAATTTTAAGTTACAGCCAAATCCTCTTTGTACTAGACACAGTAGCCACCAGCACAGACCTATGCTGTATTTATCCTCCAGGTAGGAACTGTTATGTTCCTCACTCTGTACATCAGAGAGAATAGACACATTGATTCTTGGATTTATTTTCAGATTACTATTCTGACTTCTCAGCCTGGAAAAGAGGTGATCAGACAATTGGAGGAAGGGTTGAAAGATACAGACTTAGTCAGAGTTAGGAGGCTTCAGGTCGTTGAGATCGCAAAGGGAATCCTAGAGCACATGGACTCAGCGTCTCCTGTTGAGGATCCCAGCATTGATGGTAAGAATTTTAATGAGTAGTCTTTTACAAGTCAGAAAGACATTTTCCATGGTCTTTTTGTGTTTAAAGAAGCCATGGTCTTTTTGTGTATATGTGTGCGTGTGTGTGTGTGTGTGTATAATATATATATTATATATTTTTTATTTTAATATATTAATAATACTCTTAGTAATACTCTTTAATAATAATACTCTTAATATTTTAATTAACACTTTTTTTTTTGAGACAGAGTTTCGCTCGTTACCCAGGCTGGAGTGCAATGGCGCCATCTCAGCTCACTGCAACCTTCGCCTCCTGGGTTCAGGCAATTCTCTTACCTCAGCCTCCTGAGTAGCTGGGATTACAGGCATGCACCACCATGCCCAGCTAATTTTTTGTATTTTTAGTAGAGAAAGGGTTTCACCATGTTGACCAGGATGGTCTCTATCTCTTGACCTTGTGATCCACCTGCCTCGGCCTCCCAAAGTGCTGGGATTACAGGCCAGCGCACCTGGCCAATTAACACTTTTATAGATACATACACATACATACACAACTAATTTTCTGAAACCTTTGTTCATGTGTGTTGGACAGCTGTGTCAGTGTTTATATATCAGACTTGTTTTTTAATGGCTACCTGGTTTTTTATTGTGTGGTTTTACCATAATTTATTTGTTTAATCACTAATGAACAATTTGGTTTATTACATTTTGCTATTTATAGCCAGTCCTATATTAACAGACTCATATGTAGGCTGGCTTCATGGACTAATGACCTGGGGGAGTCACATAGGGTCCTAAGTACAGAAAAGCCCCCATGCTTGAGATTAAATGCCCTGTGGTTTCTGTCTTAAAATTCTTAATAATTTTATCTTTGACTTTGTTCAGTTTGATGGAATAGTGGAGCATACACCAGGAGCTTTGAGCCTTGGCTCACACATGCCTTGCCTCCTGCTTCCTTCCCACCACTCCATAGTGGAGACCTCACTCCTGTGCCAGCTCATCAGCCATCCAGGGACCACTGCTGGCCTCTGTTCCCCCTGCTGGGCAGAGGCCTGGACACCTGGGTGAAGGTCCAGTACACATTCCTTTTGTGTTGAGTTGCCTAGGCACCTGTGAGGGTCTGCACTTGCTTGGCGAGTATTTGGTGCCTGAGGAAGTGTGATATTAATAGCAAACTTTTTAAAACCATGTCATGATGAAAAAGATGATTAAGTTTTAGATAGCTGCTATACAACATTATACCTAGAGTTAACAATACTGTACTACTATACATGTAAAAATTTGTTAAAAGGGTAGATCTCATGTTAAGTGTGGCCACAATTAAAAAACAACATGCACATGTGCACATGTGCACACACATAAACACACACACATACACACCATGATATCTTAAGAAAGAGATCATAGAAAAAAAGAAAAGGAAAAAGTTTTAAATGTTCTTACTTTCATGGCACTTTTTTCCTGCTTTTTGAACAGAGAGCTCTGCATTTTCATTTTGCTCTGAGCCCATAAATTATATAGCCTTCTCTGTTTATGTGTATAACTGTGCATTTGTGCAGACATTTTCTGTGGAATAAATTTCTAGAAATAAAGTTACTAGGAGGTAAAATAATATATGCATTTTTGACAGTTATTGTCAAAAAACTCTCCAAAAAGATCATACCAATTCGTAATTTCACCAATAATAAATAAGACTTTCACCAATAGTAAATAATAATTTCCTGCTATGAATTATCCTTGTTTGTTCTTTATCTTTGCTAATCCAATGGGGGAAAAATGTCTAGTTTTGAAATTAGACTTTTGGCTCGGCACAGTTGCTCACACCTGTAATCCCAACACTTTGGGAGGCCCAAGCAGGAGGATCACTTGAGCCCAAGAGTTCAAGACCAGCCTGGGCAACATAGTGAGATCTCATCTCTAGAAAAAAATTTTTTTTAATTAGCTGGGTGTGGTGGTGCATGCCTATAGTTTAAGCTACTTGTGAGGCTGAGGTGGGAAGATAGGATGAGCCCATGCAGAGCGAGACCCTGTCTGAAAGGGGAAAAAAAGAAAAGAGAGAGAGAGAAGGAAGGAAGGAAGGAAGGAAGGAAGGAAGGAAGGAAGGAAGGAAGGAAGGAAGGAAGGAAGGAGGGAAAGAGAGAGAGAGAAAGGGGGAGGGAGGGAGGAAGGAAGGAGAGGAAGGAAGGAAGGTAGGTTAGACTTTTGTTCTTTTTTTTTTTTTTTTTTTTTGAGACAGAGTCTTGCTCCTGTCACCCAGGTTGGAGTGGTACAATGGCATGATCTCAGCTCACTGCAACCTCCGCCTCCCGGGTTCAAGTGATTCTCCTGCCTCTGCCTCCTGAGTAGCTGGGATTACAGGCTAGTATCTCTGCGCCCAGCTACCTTTTGTATTTTTAGTAGAGACAGGGTTTCACCATGTTTGCCAGGCTGGTCTTGAACTGACCTGAGGTGATCCACCTGCCTCAGCCTCCCAGAGTGCTGTGATTACAGGCGTGAGCCATCATGCACGGCCAGACCTTTTTTTTCTCTGCCTCCGAGGTTCAAGCAATTCTCCTGCATCAGCCTCCTGAGTAGCTGAGATTACAGGTACCTGCCACCATGCCCAGCTAATTTTTGTATTTTTTAGTAAAGATAGGGTTTCACCATGTTGGCCAGGCTAGTCTTGAACTCCAGACCTCAGGTGATCCACCTGCCTCGGCCTCCCAAAGTGCTGGGATTACAGGTGTGAGCCACTATGCCTGGCCCAGACTTTCATTCTTGAATTACCTCCTGGGATTTCTTTGGAGACAAAGTGTGGAGCAGTCCTACATCATGATTTTTCCCCTTGTTACAGTCACTAGGTTTACCTTAATGACAGTTCCCTTGATATTTACATACTGAAAAATATTCATGTTTATTATAAACAAATTTAAAAAGCAAATAAGCAGAAATAAGTAAATCTAAGTTACCCACAATCCTACACTTCCAAGAAGAAGAAGTATTCAAACTGTGCCTTAGAGCAGGGGTCCCCAACCCCCAGGCCATGAACTAGTACCATCTGTGGCCCATTAGGAACTGGGTCGCACAGCAGGAGGGGAGGGAAGGGTGGTGGTGAGTGAGCATTACTGCCTGAGCTCCGCCTCCTGTCAGATCAGCTATGGCATTAGATTTTCATAGGAGAGCAAACCCTATTATGAACTGTGCATATGAGGGATCTAGATTGTGCGCTCCTTATATGAGAATCTAATTAATCCCTGATGATCAGAAGTGGAACGGTTTCATCCCGAAACCTTTCCACCCACCCATCTGTGGGAAAATTGTCTTCTAGGAAACCAGCCCGAGGTGTCAAAAAGGTTGGAGATCACTGTCTTGGAGGACAGGTAGGAATTAGCTAAGCAGAGGAAGAGGAAAGGGGCCGCTCAAAAAGGAGATCCAGAGACATGAGAAGCAAGATATGCCCAACTTTTGAGAAGTGCCTGTGGTTCCCTACACCAGAGCCTGTCAGGCAGAGGTGTGAGTGAGGCGTAAAGGTAGGCAAGGGTTAGATGATAACAGCCATCTATGCCATGCTAAAACATTTGGATTTCAATTTAAGGTAGTGAAAATTTATGAAAATATTTTAGTCAGGAAGTCAAGTAGAGATCTCCAAATTATGGAGTTCAAGGGTTTTGGAACCAGTTTTAATTCATCCAACACTCAAGTTACACTTCACCCTCCTGCAGTTCTTTCGGGCTATATTGGCCTTTTCCACAGTTGTGCACACATGGAAGTACCCACTGTTCTGATACTACTGATCTCTTTCTGGTCCTGTGCAGATGACTTCACTCTTCCTCCCCTTCCCATCTTGTCTCCCTCTAATTAGGTAGGAGAGAGGGTTGATAATGAAGGGTGTGGTTCCTGTCAGATCCTGACACATGTGGATGCTTCCACCGTCATGCAGCCACTGATACTGTTCTGGCAGGGGAGGGAAGGCAACCAGCCGTAGCTGTGTGATTCATGAGCTCTCATTTACTTACTGTGTGCCCTCCTGTCTCTTCACTGACTGTCCTTTCTACCTCCATCCCTGTGCTCATAGCAATCTTTTCCTCTGAATTCCCTCTTCTTCCCTCTGAATTTCTTCCTCTATTCTCTTCCAGCCAAATCCTATTCATTCCTAAAATCCTAATTCAGGTTCAGTACTATGTATTGATTTTCTTTTTCTTAGAACAACCACCACATCAGTGGTGGTCTTTACTACACAATTTAGCACTTAATTAAATATCATGTAGAATTGTTCAGCATTGCTTTATTATGCAATAATTGTGTCTTCTTGCCTAAACTGTAAACTACTTGATATCTTTTCCCTCTGCATTAAACTGTAAGCACCTTGGGATTAGAAACTTGTCTTACTCATGTCTGTGTCTTGGTGTTTATCCTACATTATCAGCACTTATTTGTTAAGTGAATCAATGACTTTGATACCCCTGGAGGCTACTCTTGGTCTGCCCAGCATCGTCTATATCCCCTTTCTCCGATAACACCTCCAACTTTCTGGTCACAGAATGGGTCATGACCCAGGCTGAGGCAATGATAGTTCCCAGGCCACCAGTCAGAGCCCTTCTCACTGGGCTCTTAAAATGAATCTGAGAGATGAGCTTTTTTTCCTTCTTTTTGGCCAGTGACAGATCAGGCATGGACTGTGTTCTTTTCTGCCTTCTGTGACTGTCCCCAGAAAGAACTTGTTATGTCTCCAACGGCATAGAGCTTAGAGTATTCTAAGGCTGTCTGATGCCTTTCTTTAGAATAGTTAGTGGCTAGCATTGTATAGAAGAGCTTTTAAACACAGGAAAGTAGCTTTCTACTTGTGTCAGTGCTGATGACTCTTCCAGTAACTTCCCATTTGCTTCTGAATAATGCATCCTCTCATAAATTGCTTGTAATTCCTCTTTGTGGGTTAAGTGTATATGACTCATTGCTCAGAATCTACCTAGTTTGCCTGTGCTTTCCTCATAATTAATTATTTTATTCCCTTTGTGTTTTGCCTTATCTTGGTATTGTTATCAAGACATTAGCAACAGCAGCTTCTCTCATTCTCAGAAAGATGGGTGGTCCAAAACTAGGTTGCCCAGGTCTAAATTCCAGTTTTTATTACTTTCTGGCTGTGCAACTTTGGGCAAGGTATTTAGCCTCACTAAGCCTTAGTTATTAATTCCTACCCCATGTAGTAGTTGTGGGAATTAAATGAGATCGTGTAAGTGCTTCATAAAAGTTAGCTATATTTATTATTAATATTTTTGAAAAGTTTTGTATATGGATGGTTTGGTATATTTCTGAGATTTGTTTTTAATAGCCAAATCTCAAGTGGACTGTCACCTGGAACTAAGACTGTGTCTTCTTTATCTTTCTATCACTAACACTTATCACTCTACCTGGCACACAATAGATTCTCAATAAATGTTTCCTGACAAAACAAATGATTGGTGTGGGTAACCCCCGCATATAGGCACCGAGGAATGAGAGCTAAGCAGAACCCTGGGACAATTAGGGCTTGAGGATTATCTCACTGTATAGTGTTACTACTCAGCTATTTCCTTTTATATAATCCTTTACATAATCATATATTAGTTTATAGAAATAGGGCTTGAAGAATCCCTTTATATAATCCCCTATATTTAATCATATAATAGTTGATATTATGAATGCCTAAAGAATATTTCCTTACATATATATCTATAGTTATATCTTAGTTCATAATCGGAGGAATGCCTAGAGTGGACACAGTACAGAGCATGAATTAAGGAATAAGCAGCTTATAATCAGAGGAATGCCTAGAGCAGACACAGTACAGAGCATGATTTAAGGGAAAAACAGTTATACCAGGACAAGAATCCATGGCCCAGGTGGCAGCGTTCAGTATCATAAAGATACCTGCTGTATGGCAGGCTGGGGGCAAGAGCCATTCCTCCTGATAAAGGAGTTGTAGGACCTTGCTCATTCTTGTGGAAGGCTGCCCTCAGACTGGCAATCCACCTTGGTGACTGTGAACTTTCTCAGCTCTTGCTACTGTGCTGCTTGAAAAGCATCTTCCCATAGAACCCATTGGAAGCTGCCAGAAGGTGGTGGTAACCTTGACAGCTCTGTCACTGCTATGTGACTTAAAGCATCCTCCTATAAATCTTCTTAGAAGTAGTTTGCCCATAGATAGAAGTATTGCATGCTGCACCCTCTTCACTGTGCATGGCCCACCTTCAAACCTCGGTGACCTAATGAGGGTGGACCCCTTACTGCACACAACCCTTGCCTTCATGGGAACGGGCCCCTTGCTGCGCATTGTCTACCTCCTGGCCAAGATGACCTAATGGGGATGGACCCCATGTTTTATTGCTCACGACCCTGTCACTATCCTTAAAGATGATTTCACTCACTGCCCTGCTCCCTAACCTATGCACAATAAATACTCATGCTTCTGGACATTTGGGGCCTCACCTGACTCCGCTTATAGGTGGCGTGGCCCCCCGAGCCCAGCTGCATTTTTCTTGTACTTCTGTGTTCTGTCTCTTTATTTCTCGGATCCTGCACCTCAGCACAGCATAAGGCTCAGCCCACGATCCTGTGGGGCCCTCAGCCCTACAATTGGGAAAAAAAATGATTTGTGAGTGGTGGGGTCAGCCTCTATGACATCAATTAAAATAGTTAGGGATATATCCCAAACAGCCATAGCTTCCCTCGATAACTCATGAATATCACAAATTGATTCAAACACTTCTTAAACCTAGTTATAATTATTTTACTCCAATAGCCATGATCATCAATTAAATAAAAATTATCTATACTCCACTTTTCAGAGAGAAATAAGTCAAAAGCAAATGTTGCTATTGTAGATTCATTTATAAAATAACTATGAGAATATGTCCTTCAATCTAAATTCTGCCTACTTTATTTACAGTTCTGCACCGTGAGAACTAATTATCACAAAAATGACCTAGAGACCCTGCAAGTCCAGCATCACCAAAAAAGAATGAATTTAGAAATTAAGAAAGTAGACTCACATTTTAGAAAGTTCCTTAACAGGATCTAATATAAAATGGTTAGCTTTAAATTACTTTCACATTAGTTAAGGTTTTCTATAAATTTTAACCATATAGCCTATTATATATTTTCTTCTAACTATATAAATGGGACTTCTTTTAATTTGTTCCTGGTATTTTTCATTTTATTCTTTAGTTTTAAATTTTGCTGAAAAATCCTGTCCAGTGCTGTTTGTAGTAGCTTTTGCCTGGCTATTTTTAAATTTTTTATTATATAAATGTAAACATTATAGAAACATAATAAAGACAGTTCAAAATGACCCAAAATTTCAGCCTCCAGAGATAACTACCATCAACAGTGTAGGACACATTCTACTGAACTGCCCTCCTTACACATGCATGTATACTGATATATATGTAATATATTATTATTGATATTATTTTCTTTGACAAAAAATAAGACTATATTATACCAACTGCTCTGCGTTTTTTTCATTTAGCTATTTATCTAGGATTTTTTCCACATTAGCACATAGAGCTCTAACCCATTCCTTTTCATAGCTATGAAGTATTCCAATGTATGAATTAATCATCATTTATTTAACTATCCTTTTGGATTTTTACATTTAACTCTAGAACTGTGTAACGTTGAACAAGTTAATTTAACTCTTTATTCCACAAATTTCTCATTTATAAAATAGGGCTTTATAAAATAGCTTATTTTATAAAGCTCATTTGTAAAATAATAGCTACCTCATGGGGTTTTTGTAAAAACTTGCATGGAAAGCACTTGTAACAGTACCTGGCACAAACAAATAAATGTCACCTACTGATATTAATAGTAGTAAAAGTCCTTCTTATATATGCCTTTTACTGAGAAAATTTCAAGCTTTAATAATTTATATTTTATTGAAAAGAAGCTGACTATTTTTTTATTTAAAATCACTCATCTCACCATCTGATTGCACTTTTATTTTTGCACGGTAGGGCTCAGTCCCTCACTCATGTTTATGTTACATAGTTATAATTCATGTATATAATTTTTTGTCTTAATGTAATCTAATATTATAAAACTTTTTCCATAGTTCTCATAGCCTTTCTTTTCCGTTCATTCTCTTTTTTGTTCCTCTTTCCTCTTTTCCTCTTAAAGCAGAACTAGGAAGTATTGGTTCAAGAAATAGAGATAAAAAGAGATACACCTCTCACAGGGAAAGCCAGATGCTTTCTTTGTCCTTAAATGCCCTCTTTACATATAAGCCAATCCTACAACCCTAGATCAGGTCCCTAATGTTGGATCTTGATCATAAATTAAGGATAAAGGAGAATCTGCCAATTCTAGCAGCCAAGGTTAGCCCCATAAAAGGGCCATAAATCATGGGAATAATGCTGCTAGCTTATTTTGTTTTTAAATAAATTCTGAGCCTTGAGGAAAAGATATGTGAACTAAAGCAACAGTATCTTAATACTCTAACATTTGTTTTTAGATCATAGTAATAGCAACATTTTATTGAATACTTACTGTTCAAATACTTTCTGTTCTAAATAGTTTCCACATATTATTTAATCCTTGTTTATCTAGATGAAAAAACTAAGGCATATTTTCTTGTTCATAATAATTTTCCCAAGGTTTTTCAGTTAAGAGATAGCAAAGGATTCACATCCAAGTCTGGCTCCGACACTCCTATGCTTAACTCTTCTCTATACTCCTTCAGGTGAAACGAGTAATAGAGATCAACAGTTCAGGACCAGGTGTGATGGTTCATACCTGTAATCTTAGCACTTTGAGAGGCTGAGGTGGAAGTATAGCTTGAGGACAGAGGCTTGAGACCAGCGTGGGCAATATAACAAAACCCTCTCTCTACAAAAAAAGTTTAGGCAGGCTGAGGAGGAAGGATCCGTTGAGCCCAGGAGTTTAAAGTTATAGTGAGCTATGATCGATCGCATCAGTGCACTCCAGCCTGGGTGAGAGCAAAGCACCATCTCTTTAAAAAAAAAATCCTATCAGAGTTTTTAGACGAATTTGACAAGCTGATTCATATATGTGAGTATGTATGTGTATTATATATTATATATAGAGAGAGAATATATATTCTATATATTAGAAGTAAAGATATATATTAAGGCTAGGGGTTTGCCTTAACAAATGTTTAGATGGTTTATAAAGCTATTATAATTAAGATAGTGTCATATTTACAGAGGAATAGACAAATTGTTCAAACTAGAACAGATTAGAGAAGCCTGGAAACAGCCACATGAAAACTTGATACGTGGCTTGGCTGGCATGACAGAATAGTGTGAAAAGGATAGATTTAGCCATTAAGTCATATTGAAACTATCAATATTCTATATGGGAAAAAATATTCCAAACCTCACACCATTTATAATAATGTTTTCAGATGGATTCAAGACTTCCATGTGAAAAGTAAAATGTAAAACTTTTTTTAAAAAGTATACGAGAAAATTTTCATGACAAAAGTTGGGGAAGAGGAAGAGGAATAAGTGTTTCCTAAATGAGACATAAATTTTGCTAATCATAAAATAAAATATTTTTGATGGAGTCTCTGTCACCCAGGCTGGAGTGCAGTGGCATTATCTCGGCTCACTGCCTGAGTTCAAGCGATTCTCATGCCCCAACCTCCCAAGTAGCTGGGATTACAGGTGCACATCACCACACCCGGCTAATTTTTTGTATTTTTAGTAGAGACAGGGTTTCACCATGTTGGCCAGGTTGGTCTCAAACTCCTGACCCCAGGTGATCTGCCCACTTCGGCCTACCAAAGTCCTAGGATTACAGGCGTGAGCCACTGCGCCCAGCCCATAAAATAAAAGATCGATAAGTATAACTACATTAAAATTAAGAATTTCTGTTCACCAAAATATACATGAAAATGGCTGGGTATGATGGCTCATGCCTATGATCCCAGCACTTTGGGAGGCAAAAGCAAGAGGATCACTTGAGCCCAGGAGTTTGAGATCAGCCTGAGCAATATAGTGAGACCTTGTCTCTACAAAAAATAAACAAAATTAGCCTGGCATGGTAGCATGCACCTGTAGTCGCAGCTACTCAAGAGGCTGAGGCAAGGAGGATCACTTGAACCCAGGAGGTTAAAGCTCCAATGAGTCAAGATCACACCCACACTACTTCACTCTAGCCTGGGTGACAGAGCAAGACTGTCTCAAAAAGAAAAGTTGACATACAGAATAAATATTACAAGGAATGTTTGCAAAGTGAAATATCATACATTTTTGAAAACAAATGGACCACAGCTATATATAACAATGTGAATGAATCTTTTCAATATTGAGAAAAAAGCAGATAGAGGGGTATACTATATGATACTTATTTATAAAGCTCAAAACTAAAATTATAAAGTGTTAAAGTAACAAAGCTACTTTTTTTTCTTTTTTTGAGATGGAGTCTTGCTCTATTGCCCAGGCTGGAGTGCAATGGCGCGATCTCAACTCACCACAACCTCTGCCTCCCAGGTTCAAGCCATTCTCCTGCCTTAGCCTCCCAAGTAGCTGGGATTGCAGGTACACACCTTGACTCCTGGCTAACTTTTGTATTGTGAGTAGAGACAGGGTTTCACTATGTTGGCCAGGCTGTTCTTGAACTCCTGACTTCAAGTGATCCATCTGCCTTGGCCTCCCAAAGTGCTGGAATTTCAGGTGTGAGTCACCACATCTGGCCATAAAGCTACTTTTTTTTTTTTTTTTTTGGAAAAGTACAAAGGGAATTTTTTTTTATTGTACTTTAGGTTCTGGGGTACATGGGCAGATCATGCAGGATTGTTGCATAGGTACATTACAAAACTACTTTTATAAGAAAATAAATAAAAATAAAAGTCAGTGTGGCAAGATTTCTTCGGGAGAAGATTAGGAAAATATATCTCAGGAGTATTGATGATGTTCTACATCTGAAGTTAAATAAAGGATTCATGAGTGTTCATTTTTGTTGTTATGCTTCATAGCTTACATTTTTATTGCATGCATTCACTTGCATACAGTAAAAGTTTTACAATAGCTTTTTGAATAATGACTAAGTAATAAATATGCCAAAACTAAAATGGCCACTGAGATCAATAACTTTGGCATCCAGAGGGCATCTATGCAGGTTGACAGCAGTCTGCACTCATTGGGTATGTAAGTCATTCAGCCAGTTACAAATCAACCTAATGATGCTGTCAACTAGTCTGTATCTCTCAGCCATACACAAGGGTATCAGGTTCCCTTTCTAAGTGCTCACAAACCATCTGTTTAATATTTCCTCCTAGACTGTCAGGGATCAATGTCAAGCTCTTTTAGGAAGGCATTTTCTCCATATGTGTTCTCAGGAAACACCAAATGTTAACAACCCAAACAAAGAAGATAAAGAATGCCAGAAAGAAAGGGCTGGAGGGGAGCTTCTTCTATGCTTCAGTGCAATTGTCAGAACAGATACTGATTTTTCCCCTTTCAGTGTCTTAGAAAATGGACCAGAAAACACAACTGTTCGTTGTGTCTGTCTTTGTTAACTGCATTAAAGTCATTTCCCTCTGGCATTAAGACTAAATTAGAACCACTGTTGTATTTATAACCTAAAGATTTTTAACATAGAGA